AAGAGGTTTAAAGAGTTTACTTCATAAACGGCTAAATCGATGCCAGCGTATGGAATAATGCCCAATAGGTTGGGCAAAAAGCCCCGGTAGAAACTGAATACGCCTTCCTGTGCGCGTATTTGCCTAATGGCGCTCATTATACTCTGGTATTGATCTGTCCTCCTCAGTGTCAGCCGTGTCTTAAGCACTTCCATCGGGTATATCACAGATTGAGAGATACAGCCGGCGATCGATCCTAACGTCAACGCAATAGACACACAAAATAAACAAAGTTAATGACAATTCAATCACTCGTCCAAAACAACAATCAATTAAAAAGCTAAATACCGGCGCAAAACCTCTCGTAAATATATAGTTCTCGGGTGGCGTTCCCTCTAATCACACGTTTTGCCTACAAATTAATACAAAAGCCATTGAAAACATGAGATACCGCATCATTATTAGACACAATACCTGTTCGTAAGCCATAAACTTGATGGCACTTTCGGGTGCAATCTTGATCACATTGATACCATTGCCCCGCCATAGGGAGGCCACACCGCCCTCTTCCAGCATATGCTTCAGGCAAATGCCCAGACCGTGAAATTCAGCTCCTCTTACCTACCGATACACATCACGTGACCAAACGATGCGAGCGAAGAACCCAATGGATTGGCCATCAAAACAGCACCAAAGGAGGCGATCAAGAGTTGGAGGGGAGGCGTGGGGTTAAACCAAAGCATAGCGATTAGTAAAACACGTGTCAAGTGAACAATGAAATGGTCAGAGCAATGATTACTTGTAGAAACACTTTAAGCCTATCCAATGGTGCGGTACACGTGCGGGAGACGGCACCGGCCACTCCGCCCGCCAACAGATGCCTCCATAGCATGCCGTACTCCGTCCCTCGGGGGGCGACCGCACGGGTGGGCACGGCTTCGGTGCGATCGGTGGTCGCGACGACCTCTGGCTTGTGGTCGACGGCGGCGACGCTCTCTCGCGACTCGTTTTCGTCATTCATTACCAAAACATTTAACAATAAATATAAACACAATATCTTTCGCTCGTATAAAACACGTCCAGTCATGAGATGTGCCGTTATTTGTGGCACACATTCGCCACCCATTCAAACACTATTGAAATATTGTATGCAATCATTAGGCCTGACATACAGTTTGCATACATTATAACACAACTCACGCATACTTTTTAATTACTTTTCATTACTTTTGATTGCATTTCATCAATAGATTGTATAATTCTCTACTAAATTTTATACATTATTTAACATTATATGCAATTTAACAATATTTAGTCAATTAATAATACACTATTATAATAGTGTATAACATCGGGAGTGGACTGTATCGATAGCGATGACGAAAAGTGGCAACGATTGCATCGCATTCGCAAAGCCATTGCAAACACACATTACTGTGAGAGAGATAGAGAGAGAGAGACAGAGAGAGGGAGAGACTGTATGGGAGAGTGTGTGAGAGAGTGTGTGTTTGCGATGAATGCCATGGAATTGCAGAGTTTGTGTACAAGTGTTGGCGCTGTCTATGCGTTGTGAGAGTACAGCGCGAGTCGAGTATTAGTAGTGAACACTAATAGTGAACAACACTTTGCATGAGATGTGGAGTTGACCTAAAAAAGTGACGCTTAAAACAACACAACAAATGTATTCATGAAATTCAAAAGTGAATTATTCATTGATTTACAAAATACAACATTTAATATTAGTATTGATTAATACATGGATTTGTTTTGTGAATAATAATACTTATAATTGATTGTGTGGTTGAATATCGACGGCAACTAAAACAAGAACCAAATGAAGCCATGATCTGAGAGACAACGACCACAACAACAATACCACACAATTTGCCCACATTTTCGTGTTTAGTGTTGACATCGGGTCTGTGATTGCCGGACACCCGCCCCCACACACACACCCACTCACGCCTCCCTCTCTCTCTCTCTCTCCACTCGAACCGTGAGAGTGTGTGAGAGATTGTAACGAAACGATGGCTCAAATGGTTAGACAAATGTCCATAAAATCAACAAATGTTTTACACATTTGTCTCAATTTATATAATAATTAATAAATGCGTTAATAATTGTGAGCCGTTTTTTAATTCAAACCACACATCACTTCGCATACAACTCATCCGATATTTAATTAATTAATTAAAATCCTATATAAATATCATTATTATTATAATTATTATAAATCCTGTGTCACAACAAGAAGAGCAAACAAAACACACAATTAACTGTTATTTATTATACACGCTATTAAATCAACTCATCAAATAATAATCATATATATAAATAATTTTTATTACATTTAGTGTCTGTGTATTATATAATACTATTTAATAAACTAATTAACACTAGGTTTTAATTGAAAGTTTACTTACAAAAGACCACAACATTTATAATGAGTTTTATAATAAGTCGAAAAAAGAAATATAAATTCAATATCGTGTGTGTATTGAACGAGCTGTCATCGGTGCCATTTGTGAACTCGGTCATTTTTGCCAAATGCAGACTATTAGATGGTGGTAACTTTCAGGACACTTGCCGCAGGTATACAACCGTCGTTCCCACACTCGCACCGCCCGTGCGGTCGCCCCAAAATTGCCCACATTGTATTTCACTATCAATGCCTCAATGCCTCCCCCATAAGCTTTTTTATCACGTTATCGCAAATTTCCGTTTGATTCGCTTCTTATTTACAGATGTTCTCTCTCTCTCTCTCTCTCTCCCTCTCTCTCTCTATTATAGCTAATCGTACGGTTGACTAGTATTGAATAGGGTAAATGTCAAAGCCAGATATAATGAAGCGAAAGTGGTACAGGTACGTTTAATTGAATTATCTCTCTCTCTCTCTCTCTCTCTCCCTCTCTCTCTCTCTCTCTGTCTCCCTCTCTCTCATTGATTAATCTAACGGTCCTTTTAATGTCTATTTATTCAACGTGTTTATAGTGTACTCTAAAACCCACATATATTTCTAATTTATGTATCACTCAATATGTAGTGAATGTGCACTAAATCTGATTTTGCATTTAATGTTGTGTAATGATGGCAATGAAAGTGAGAAAGCACAAATTTTATTTCTATTTCTATACTTGAATATATTAATTCAATTCAATTAAACGTACCTGTACCACTTTCGCTTCATTATATCTGGCTTTGACATTTACCCTATTCAATACTAGTCAACCGTACGATTAGCTATAATAGAGAGAATATGCTATTCAATTTAAATGTCGGGGTAATTACTAAACGTACAGGTAGTTTTAATAGTGTACTATTTTAAAAGTGGTGTGATTTTAATTGCTACTGCTTTATAGCGTGTATACACTATTGGCAATGAATATACATTACATTGGATTCGTGTGAAATTCAATACACAATAGTCTATAAACAGGTGTAGATTATTCTGTGCCATACAGACATCCATTTGATTGACTGATTCCCGGATACATATGATTAGTGTATGGCTTGAAATTATTTCATATTTGCTATCTATTCAAGTGGGAGATAGAAGGGGGAGAGGGGGTCGGAGAGAGATAGGTCAGTTTACTTACCAAACTATGACCACAAATAATCAATAACATTCAATATACTGTTTGGAGACCAACAAGAATTTTAGCCATAAATAGTTGTAATCTATAACATTCTTCTAATAACCATTAGTTTCCTATAGTCGCACACATTTAAATGATAATTTTGAAAGCATTGAATATACTGTACATATTTGGCAAACAGTTTATATTTAATAAAATATATTTAATAAATATATTAATAGTCAATAAAACATATGCACAATGTATGGCAGGAATGACTCAGCCCTCAGTTTGACAGCGATTTTCCTGTTTTACAATTTATTGTCTCAAAAACCCAAAACTATTATTATTTAATATATAATTATTTTATTGAATCAATTTAATGCAAAATGAATTAATGCCCAAATTTGTGCATATCTTTGCCAACTATAGGGAGGAAGTGAGAGATCATTGCGTCAAATGGGACACAAAGTATTCATTTACGTGCAAAATGAGTGCCAACGCCAGCACTGGTATATTAGAGGCGTGTGTTCTTCGGGTCTCTGTCCGAAAGGTCAGTATTGGACAAGTTTTTATCGGTCAATAAACAGCTGTTTTAATGTTTGATTTGCTTTTTTGTGTACCCTTTGTATGGGATAACAGGAGTCGAAAGGCGGGCGTTCGTACCATAAGCTGGGCTTTGCCGATATAAATCTGGCTCAATTCGCCGGCGCCGGACTCACAACCAAACGGTATCTATTGGAGGGATACGACGCCAAACACAGGTCGGACAACAGCACACTCAGTGTGTCCATTGAGATGACACTACTGTCCGGCGATCCCTGTTTTAAAGCGTGAGTTACAGAGCAATCACACTCTCCTTTCCCTTCAGCTCTTTTTCCCAAACGGCTATTCATTAATTGTATTTGTGTTTTGTGTGAAATGTTTGACCCATCGATTGGCGGACGACTGCAGGCCATCATTCTATACCTCACTGTTCCAGACGAGCGACAAATCAAATGACCCTCAGCTGCATTTGGATAGAAAAGGTGATGATAATAGTGCCGGTAGTGTTGCCAGTGGTGGCAGTTCCGGCTTCGGTAGTCTACCCCGTAAACATCGGTCCTCTCTATTAAGCTCAGGTGATTCAGGCCTTCCACACACATTCTCTCTCTCTCTCTCTCTCTCTCTTTCCTATCCTTAATCTCTATTTACTAACCAATCCATGGCCTCACAGATATGAACGGCTATTACCATAGATTAACCAAAAAAAGACATTTGCGAATAATTAGTATAATTAAAACTAATATCGCTTTACTTTTTTGGCATAAATTATATAATTTGTTGTCTGTTTTACAACTGCAATGAATGTAAACCGTTATATATTTGGGTACTTATCATAAAATGTATGATTTTTTTGGTATTAATATTTATTATTACAAACCGAAAGAGGAGTTTATGTTTTTCAGAGGTTTTGGGTTCAAAAAACTCATTACTCTCTGCTTTGAGGAGAGACTGGACTTTTAATACCAGTACTCACTATACACTTGTATAATACCCGTACGTATAATACAAGCGATTATGTATTCTCTCGCACTTCAATCCACTCTTTTTTCTAATCAATAATTTTTTTGTTTATTTTTTTAAACATCTCTTCCCTCAATAACTTCTCCCCTCAACCCCTCTCTCCCTATCATAACAAATATTTTACAAAATAGAGTTCAAAAAACTTCATATAAACAGACAATTAATTAAAAACTTTTTTGATTAAAATATTCATATCTTTTGTAGTATTTGAGTAGTTTAATGATAACTTCTTAACAACAAACTATTCATTAAACCATTATTAAAAAACTAACATTTTTAATGAATTCATTTTTAATACTAACATTTTTTGTAATCATTTTCTCTAATAATAACAAACTTTTTCATGAATGATATGAGAAAAACAGTTTGACTTTTGATATTTATTTAAAAACATATTTGTCTTGTTTATGTTGAATGACTAAATCTATGGTTTTATCTATAGATTTAGTGGCGGGAGCTCTCGGCCAGGATTGCAGCGATGGGCCGACACAACCAACACAAACGACGCCTAAAACGCACAAAACGTTTGACAACAACGGCATCGGTAGCTCAGTATTAGCCGCCCCTACAGTGGCCGCCGCAGCACAGCCTCAACAGTCAACGGCCGCTGACCAGGAGTCGGGCCATTCGCGTAACTCGAGTCAGGCGTCGCGCGTTTCCGGCTATAATAGTCTGCCGTCGCACAGCAGGCAGGGGTCCGCCGACTCCGGCAATACAAGGTATACGCCAACAGACATGCATTACATGTCTTAACACACAACTAATCCATTGGATGATTGTCTCAATGAATCAGAAACTCGATCGAAGCGATCAAATTCAACAGCACTGAGAGGAAGAGGATTACGTCGAGCGCTAAGAAGATAGTGGAGGAACAGAGCCGTATGGACAGCACACGGGTCAGCGCCGATCGGCTCATCAACGAACTCCTGGAGGCGACGAACCTCGAGGGCGACGGCGAGGACGAGGAGTGCAACGAATCGGTCGGTCTCGAGCTGTTTGTCGGCAAAGACGGGTCCACAACACTGGGCACGAAGACGAAGTCACAGCCTCCCGGCGCTGCTCACCACCGATCGGCCTTCGTATCGAGCGCTGGCGTCCGCGGCGCCGGTGGCCGTAACGGTCGGGTTTGATGCCAGTGGTTGTTGGCTGTCGTTATATCATCCCATTCCCCGACACCGCTATCCATACAATACATTATTACTAATTATTATAACGCAAAGTAAGTCATTATTATAGAAAAATTTAAAAATTATATACAAAACGAAACTATTGTTTAATTGGAAATTAATTTTAACACAAATATTGTTTTTGAGACAAATATATATATAAATTATATCTAAAGCGCTAAACATTTTAATTTATAATTAAATAAATAAAATATATATTGAAATTCAATTTAGAGACAAGATTTAAGTCTTGAAAAACACTAAAAAAGCAAACAAACAAAATATGTTTTTCTAATGAGATATTGTTGTATAAACCGAAGAAAATTTAAAAATTACTGTATTTAAGGCTCAAAACTATATATAACTTCTTTTAGAAATCTCATCTTTTAATGAATTTTTTAATTAATTGTTTAATTAATTGATTGCTTATTACACGCGAAACAAAACTCTAATACTTATATACTTTGATGAATGAGTTATCAATAGACAGAAATTGATTACAATTACGTTTATTTAGTTTTGTCTATTATTTGCAATAATATTATAAGTTTTTAATTTTCTTAAACAATAATTATTTGAAATCTTAATTATGTTGTTATCAATAACTTTAGTTATTATGTTTTTTTTGTGTAAAAATTGTTTTATTATTTGTTAGAAATTTAACGTCAAAAAGCGATACAAAGTATTTCATTCATTAAATTTTCATTCAATAATAGAGTTGTCCTTTTGATTGACGAATAATTTTGAAAACAAAACGTGTTTTTATTATTAAATGATTTGTAATATTTTTAATCATTTTTATAAAATTGTGTTTATTTTGCGATCGATTGAATGCCTTTAATTTATACTATAATCGAGTATTTAATTGTCAAAACAATTTTTAACTAATGATAAGTAAAGCACAGTTTGTTATAAACATTACAATAACTAATACATTGGAGACAACAATTTTTTAGACTCTAATTCTTTATTATAATTGAAAACAAAAGAAATTCAATATATTTTTGCTT